GATAGGAACTATAAGAACTAATTTTGTGCCACTACTGGCAGACACAGGCCTGTAATGCCAGCTACTCAGGAGGCTGAGGCAGGAGCTTCATAAATCCAATGCCTGCCTGGACTGCAAAGTGAGCTTAAGACTTGTCTAGACAACTTGGAAAGACCTAGTCTCAAAACTAAAAAGAATAGGGGACACAGCTCAATGGCATGTGATAGGTCCTAGGTTTAATCCCCAGAGCCTATAGAATTAACTTCAAATGGATCAAAAACCCCCAATATAAAACCTGAAACTCTGAAAGTGCAAAACATGGGCAGTACCCTCCAAGATACAGGTGTATGAAATGACATTCTAAATCGGGCATCAGCTTCTCAGGCATTAAGGTCAACAATCAATAAGTAGGACCTCAATAAGTAAGCTACAAAGCTTCTGTACAGTAAAAGAAACAACAAAGGAAGTGAAGAAGAAACCCACTGAGTGAAAGGAAATCTTTACCAGCTACACATCTGACAGAGAATTAATATCTAGAATATACAAAGAACTCAAAATCCAAAGAAACAAGAAAATAAATGACCCAATTAAAAGATGGGCTATAGACCAGAACAGAGAGTTCTCAAGCAAAGAAATAAAAATGGCTAAGAAACACCTTACAAAGTGCTCAACATCCTCAGTAATTAGAGAAATACAAATAAAAACCACTTTAAGATTCCATCTTACCCCAGTCAGACTGGCTAAGATCAAGAGAATGAAAGACATCAAATGCTAACGAGGATGTGGATAAAGGGGAATGCTCATTCACTACTGGTGGGAATACAAATTTGTGCAACCACTATGGAAAGCATTGTGGAGAACTCACAAAAAACTAAAATTGAATCTACCATATGATCTGGTTATACTATTCCCTGGCATATACCCAAAGGGCTCATCTTACTGTAGAGATATCTGTACATCCACGTTTGCTGCTGCTGCTCCCTTCACAACAGTTAAGAAATGGAAACAACCTAAATGCCCCTCAACTGACGAATAGCGAAAATGTGGTACATTTACACAATGGAGTTCGACACAGCAGTAAGAGAAGATGAAATTATGAAATTTTCAAGTAAAACCACTTATACTAAGTGAAGTAACACAAAGGCAGAAAAGCAAGCAACATATGTTCTCCCTCATTTGTGGATTGTAACACTCCCTTATATGTAAGTATATATCCTGATGTAACACCATGAGCCAGAAAAACGGAAAGGAAACAGAGAAAAACAAAAAGAAAGAACTCAAAAGGGGAGAATAATAGGGAACAAATGTTACCAGGGGTGAAGTCGGGAAAGTAGGAGTGTTAGGCTGGGAGGGGAGGAGGGAGAAACATGTAGGGGCCATGGTGGAAGAGGAAGGAACTCAAGGGGTTTGGGGGGATGGTGGGAGGTGGATGTTATTGGGGAGAGGGGGAGGATAATGGGGACATTTGGACTGCAGAGGGAGGGGGGAGGTCAGATGGGGGAGAGAGAATAGAGATGAATAGATTGGGGGGTGAGCTAGGGAAGTCAGAGGGAAATGTGTTGCTTCCAAAATCTCCTGAGAAATGTACATACAGTGCCTGAACATTAATACATATGTATATGTGGGGACTGTATGGCAAGGAACACAGAGCCAGACAGGAGAGACCACCCTTCGAGTGGTTGGTCAGAGTGGTTCAAGAGACTCCCAAAATAACACAGGCTATTGCGAGAACTCTTAGTTTCTCCCAGAACTGGAAGATTAAATCCTACTGCTGAAAACAGGACATACTTTGGACACAGGACTTGAAGCAATGGAGCAGAAATTGACCTGGAAGCCTTCTACCTCAAATTTAGCTCTCATAGTTCTGGAGGATATTGCGCAATCAATCAATGGCCCAATCCAGCCCTAAAGCCAAATAACCATAATGATCAGCACAGCAAACTACTTCTGTTGGTGCAGTAGTGGCACTGATATCTGGGGGTAATCAACAGCCATCTAAGTGAACTTAAAGTCCTCTCAATGGGAGCAAACTCACAGGTGGCACTGTAAACACAGCCAAAAACACATGGCTGGAGAGGTCATAGATCCTAGAGAAAATCTCATCTCTGTCATATCTCGAGACAAATGAAATTTCTTACCATATCTAAATATAGATCCTTATATTTACAGATGCGTATACTGTATACCACTCATCAAAGAAGCTTCTTTCTGCAAGAGATGAAGGCTACTGCTTAATCCCCCAACTGGTCAGACACAGAGACTATCTGAGGGATGCCTAGTCCTAGGTGACATATCTACAGTGGAACCTCTACACCCAAGACTCATGGAACATAGCAGAACAGAGGGTAGAGAGAAAGCTAGTGCATTCCTCAACTCTCATCAGTGAAGCTTCCTTATACAACAGGGGGCAATGAACACAAAAGGCCACAAATGGCCAACTTTTAAAGAATAAGAGACTGCAGTGTATCCCTAGATAGGACTCCTATCAAACCTCTCCCACCCACAGCTAGGGACCATTGTGGAAAAGGGGTCAGAAAGATTATAGAAGCCAAGGCTGGTTCATGAACATAGGGAAAGCAGAGGCTTTCGGGTCACTGGAATCTTACACATATGAACTTGTGGCAATGGTAGCACTGAGCACAGAACCCATGCCAACTCAATCAGACAAGAGCCCAGAGTGGAACGAGGGAAATGTATGGTGGGTCAGCCCTAATCTGAGAACTACTAGAGACTGATTAACACTGGGTGATGGAGAGGAGGCCTTACTTACGATCTCTAGACAGGCTGACTAGACTCCAGTGGATGATTTGCACTGAAGGACATCTGGGTACAAATGCTTGACTGGAGAGAACTTAATATGTATGGTGGAATACATGAGGTTCGGTGGAGGGGGTAGGTGGTCATAGATCAGGGAGGGGGGTCTGCATTTGATTAAGAACTGTAATATGAAAACCCAAGACTGTCACATCCCTAGACTAATATAATTTCCTACCATGTGCAAAATATGTATCCTTATATTTACAGACAATTATCAATGTCACCACTCATCAAAGAAGCTTCTTTTCCACCAGCGGAGACTATTACATAGTACCACAGCTGGTCACACACAGACATTGTTAATTAATTTCCCAAGCCTAAGTGGCACATCTACAATGTAACCTCTATACCTAAGGCTCAAGGAAAATAGAGCAAGGGGTAAAGAGGACACCAAAGAATATCTCAATTCTCGTTAATGAAGCTCCCTCATGCAACAGAGGGCCAGGAACACAAAAGGTCACAAATGGCCAAAGCATAGAGATTAAACAAGAGTCTATAGAATGCTGGTCCTTGGACAGGACTCCTACATCAAACTACACCCACCCAGGGCTCAGGGACCACTGCGGCAGAGAGGGCAGAATAAGAGCCAGGGAAGAGGTATGTGACCATATGGAAATAGAATACTACAAGTTCCTGGGACCCTGCTAATATGAACCTACAGCAATGATGTCAGCATGCTCCAGACCCAAGCAAACTCAAGTAGACAAAAACTCAGCATAGAACCAGGGAAATGGACAGCAGACCCCAATCTTAGCTGAAGAAATATTGGCAACTGATTACTGCTGGGTAAGAAAGTGCTGATCTTTCTAAAGTGAGGGACTCTACATAGGCTGCTGAACAGTAGATGAACTTGCACTGAGGAACGTCTGGGGACACTAACTTGACACAATAGGCCTTAACACATATGACAGAATGTACAATTTCCAGTGGGAAAGGGGGTGGCCTATGGGAGGCTGCCAGTGGGAAAGATGATTAAAATGATGATGTTCTATATGAAATACACAAAAATTCAATAAAAAAAATTGCAGAATAAAATGAAAAAATCTAAAAAAGATATGTACGAAAGTTCAATAAAAAATTCAAAAAAAGAATCTTTATCCAAAATGGCAAAAATACACATTACTTTTTAAAGACTGAGGACTTTGTCTGACTCTTTACTGATGCCTATAGCTACAACTAAAATGGGTCAAACAGCATGGCATCTGTCTTCATCTTGTGCTTGCCCCTTCTGCTTCCTCAGTCTCAGACTCCAGTCAGCTCAGGATATAGACCTGTGGAGCATTTGGGAAACATTTTATCAGTACTACACTAAAGGATTATTTGGTCTATCCATCACTGGAGTTGATGTGTGTTTCTTCTCCCCTAACCTTATGCTATCTTGGCAGCTCAGCCACTTATAAGTCACTCAGGTTTATCAAAGGGCCCAGAGCAAACCACAAAGCAATATTTATGCAAGAAGATGCTACCAGTACCAGGCATGGTAGCACACACCAACATGCCCATACTTGGGAAGCTAGAGCAGGAGGATTCTGAGTTTGAGACAGCACAAAAAAACAAGAAAACCTTGTCCACAAAAAGTCAACAAAAGCAAAAGAAAACACCAGCAACAGAAAGGACCTGGCACTTTCTGCGTAAAATGAGCTGCCCAACAGCCTAAAAGCCTCAAGACCAGAATGCATGTGCACAAGAAGAAAAACGTCTTTGAAACTGAGCTCATGACCAGTGAACAATTACCAAAATTTTATCCGCTTCAGAAAAATCAACAAAAGCCTGCTGCTTTCTTTGTTCAAGCAAGCCGTCTGGTCACCTGTGATCAGTGTTGAGAGTCTCAATAAAGGAAGGCTGTCTGTCTTGTTCAAAATATTATGGCTTGGTCTCATTTCTGTGTTTCAGATACCATAAGATCCTGCCACCCAGTATTAACAGGAGCGAAAAACATTATGGCCAAAAAGGAAACCACACGTTCTACCAAAGAGCAGTGAAATTAAATACATACACAGCTGGAATTCGCAGACAGGCCAGTCAACCACCAGTTTTCAACCTTACTAATGCAGCAGGCCCAGCCAACGGTTTTATACCTATTTCCTGTGAAGGTCACAAAGGGCACATCACAAGCTCCAAGGTGCTCCCACAGGCTCCCACAGGTCTTCACCTAGGCTTTCCAGTATACTAAGACCATAGCAGCTGAACAATGAAAAACTTACCACTTGAGATTCCAGCAGAAGAATACTGAGTGGCATCAAGGAATTTGCGTGGGGTGGGGAGGTTTGTAACATCCATCAGAGGACCAGGAGAGGCATCTTTCCCATGAGAGCTGTCAGGAAAGGAGCAATAGTTACCACTTTCTCCAAAACCAACTGAAGTCCCTTTTTGTGCCCAGCCCTCCACACTATGACTTCATACATTTCCCAAGAACATTACAAAATAAAGTGATCATTACATCTAGAGATAAACATGCACTATAAGAGTTCCAAACACCAGGCACGGTGGCGCACACCTGTAGTCCCAGCACTTGGGAGGCAGAGGCAGGCAGATCTCTGTGAGTTCAAGGCCAGCCTGGTCTACATAGTGAGTTCCAGGACAGCTGGGGCTACAGGGAGACCCTGTCTCAAAAAAGACAAAAAAAAGAGTTTCAAGTATTTAAATTATTTTGCCTTTCATTGTGATGTTTAACACGATTAGTAAAAGGATACTCTGGATTGTCTGAATGACCATCTTATAACAAAATTATGCCAAAAAACTGTCCTGGTCTCCTTTATACCTACAGGACTACTTTATCAGCAAGTAAACTTCAAATAACACCATGTTATGATACAAAAATGAAGGTGTAACAGCACTTAATCTGTGTTTAAACTTGTGTTAGTCAAGTTCATTTTGACATATTTTTCAGGAGTTCAACTACTTTTTGCTTTTTTTTAAAGAAACTAATAAATTTTGACAAGTTGAGAATCACTATAATAAAGGCTGACTTAAAGAATCTCAAATAGATTTATTCAGCATTTGATTACCTTTTCAAAGGTATAAATGATTTAAAGTTACTAAAATAAACAAGTTGATTGAAATGACATGAAGATTACAAACAACCATTAAATTTTCAAGGCAACTTTTTAATCTTCAAGTACCTGCTAAGTGTTATAGGCAATATCAAGGAAAATGCAGCCTGGGCCTTGTCTTTATGATCACAATCCTCTAGCCCCAGTGCCTCTTCCACAGAAAAGCTTCTCTAAATTCAACTCTAAGGGTACAGAAATCAAACCACAATCCTCATTTCCTTCCAGCCTAAGATAGATCACCAGCAGCAATGACCACCCATAACTGATTTTTAAAGAGACAGCAGGTACAGAATGGATGCGGTACAGACAGGATGGAGGGATCTGTCAAATTGTGAACAACAGCTGCACCCTCCTCCATGGTAATACATCCTCATCCTCTTCCCAAGATCCTCTTGGAACTAAGGCACTAGGTATAAGTGTTTCATGGATTCTCCATCTCCCTCCCCTCCTCCCTCTCCCTTCTACCTTCTCCTCAGCCTCCTCCACCTATTTCCTCTCCTTCTTTGCCAATTCCGGGAATCAGATGCCTTGCAAGACAAGAATGTTACCTTTAAGATACACACTCCAATTTTTTAAATAAAAAACAATTATTATTTCAGAAAACTTTGAAAAACAAGCTATGATAAAGAGTGAAATTATCACTTAAAGCAATAGCATTTTGCATTAACAATGCATGATCCATTGACCTGGGCTTGAAGAGAACTATGACAGTCACTAATGTCTCCCTTCTCACTGACTATTCATTCAAGCTCAGCAGAAAGGTAGGTAACTTGAGTTTTCATTTCAAAAACAAGAAAACGACCTGCTCTCACCATGTATCTGAGACAAGATTGAAAAGGCTTTCATTAATTCCCTTCAAGGTCTTTGAAGATTACTCTCTTAAAATTTGTAATTAATAAGGCTGTATTGAATTGTTTTATTTTGAAAAAAAATGAACAAAATTTATTTTTATTTTTAAACATAATTACAACTTTTATTTTAAACCCATTTAAATCATTCATAGCTGAGAGTTGACACCACCACCTGATGTTTACTAAGGTCCTCCTAGTATAAGACAGATCTGCCAAAACCAATGTGTATTGTGACTAATGTGTATCTGGCTATTTAATAACAACATGGTGCAAGACAGAAAAACTATAAAGCAAATTAAGCTACACCAAAACAACCAAAACCACTGCCACCATAACTTATCTAAGAACTTCCTGGCCACTAATCAACCACTCAACTTGCTAGAATCTGCTTCAGAATGTACTTGATTTTCAAATTCATGAACATTATTTTCATTTTTTGAGAAGGGGTACAAGTCCTGTGGCTTATAAAACACTTGCTTTTTAATTACAATATATTTCTGTTCCTCCATTTAGTAATACATGGGTCCAACTATTTCCAAAATTTACAGGTCCTGCTCATTTGGATGATTTTATTGTTGAAGACTGACAGAGGTGAACTGAGCTTTACATTATAAATCTAGTCTAGTAACTAAACTATTCACCTCTATAACCAGAACAGCTGACACAGTAGCTGTCAAAAGAGCAAATGCTCATAAAAGTTGGTTAAATCAGACTTATCTGTAAAATATCCATCAAAGATAATATGCCCTGAGTAAGAAAATTTAAATGAATAATGAAACAAGAATGTCTGGAAATTCTGTACATTCAACAATCTGACTGAAAATACAGAAAGAACAGTGAATGATTTAAAAGATATAAAAAAAATTTTAATGATTTCAAATGACAGATGAAGGATGAAGAGATAGTAGTAGAAAATAAAGTGAGGCAATTTTTTTTAATCTAAGAAAAGAGAGAAAATAAACAAAAAAGAATTAAAAGATAAAAACAAAACACAAACAGAAAAAATAAAGGATGGGTGTGGTAGCATATGCCTCTAAATCCAGCACTCTGGAGGCAGAGGCAGGCAGATCTCTGTGAGATGGAGGCCAGCCTGTTCTACATAGCAAGTTCTAGGCCAGCTGGTGCTACAGTGAGACCTTGTCTCAAAAAAAAAAAAAAAGAAAGAAAGAAAAAAAAAAATTCAAAGGACAAAATAGGGATCAAATACTACAATGGGATCCAGAACTCTTCACACAAGGAGACAAATATGGAGACCAAATCCACAGGGGTTGGCAGTGTTCTCTCCCAGCAGACACAGCATGTCTCAGAGTGCACAAAGCAAGCACTAACCCAGGATGTATGCAATATGTCAAAGGATTAACTATTTTTATAATTTTATATTGATTTTATGTGATGCTAAAGGCACAAGTGCTATACAAGGAATCCAAAGAATATAATCCATTGTATACTCCATATACAGACCTACACACATACAACACACAACACACACACACGCACACATGCATGCACGCACACATATGCACACATGCTACTATCAACATTCTTAGTTGATCATCTAGGGTTCCAAACCCCAAAGTTTCCCTACAATAGTAAACCATTAACTGTTTCATTTTATTTTTAAAAAAATCCTTCAAAATCATCAGCAATAAATATTTTTATGAAGTAGAATGTGCTAACAATTCACTCCCCATCTCTATTTCCCACAATAACAAATATTTTGCAGACCCTTCTAGAAGTTTTCTACAGAACTACAAACATTTATGTGTATCAAAGATATATATTCAAAGATCTAGTCATTAGATTCTTACACACTAAGCTCATGTGATATATGCTATTTTTAATTTGACTTGAGGGCCCAACAGCACATCTTAGAAATCTTACAAATGAGCACATGGAGATCTTCCACATTTGTCTTAAGGAGCCATGTTACATGGAATGGACATATAATTCATTTAACCACACTACTCTTCATGAGAATTAAAGGTCTATAAAGTTTTGCGTGTGAGCTTGCATATGTGTGCATGCATGTGTCTGTCTGTCTTTGGTTTGGTTTGGTTTTTCCTCTTTTGGGAGGAGTACACTTTGTTTTTGAGACAGGGTCTACATAGCCCTCTTGCCTCACCCTCTCAGGTGCTGGCATTTCAAGCATGCTCCACTGCACCAAGCTTAGTTTATGTGGGGTTTTTGTTGTTCTTACCAATAACATTGCAATGAACAGCCTATTACACATACTCTTTCTAACCTGGTAATATTTTTATAGGATATGAACCTATAAGTGGAATCCCATGGCCAAAGAATGTGTAAAATTTTGTTTTCCAAAAAGGCATATTGGTTTCTTTTTTAATTAAAATATTTTATTTATTATTTTTATTTTATGTGTATTCATGTATTGCCTGCACGTCGGTAAGTGCACCCGTGTTGTGCAATACCGGTGGAGGTCAGAAGAGACTGCCAGATCCCCTGGAACTGGAGTTACAGACAGTTGTTAGCTGCCATGGGAGTGCTGGGATTCAAACCTGGGTCTCTGCAAGAACAGCCAGTGTTCCTAACTGCTGAGCCATCTCTCCAGTCCCAGCATACTGGTTTTCCAACCATAAAGAGAAAGCTATTTTCCCCATCCTTGCCTATATAGCATGTTTCTGACTATCTGGTGATCAAAAAATCATACTTGATTTCTCAAATGTGTATTTCTCTAATCATGATACTGAGTATCTGTTATCTATTCAGATTTGCTTAAATCTATGAATTACCTCTTCTCCCTTTTATTACTCTGAAGAATATTTTCTTTCTGTTTTTTTCCTTTTTTTAAATATTTTCTTTATTATTTTTATTTTATGTGTATGAGAGTATTGCCTGCATGTATGTGAGTGCACCTGTGTCGTGCAATCCTGCAGAGGTCAGAAGAGGGCTTTGAATTCCCTAGAACTGGTGTTAAAGATGGTTTGTAGCCACCATGTGGGTGCTGGAAATCAAACCTGGGTCCTCTGCAAGAGCAGTCAGTGCTCTTAACTGCTGAGCCATCTCTCCAGCCCCCATGATAATGATTTTTAAAAACAGAACTTTATCACAGTTCAGAAGGCTGGATGTCTGAGATCAAAGTGTAGGTAGGGTTGGGACTTCCTCTGTTATCAATATCTGTCTTCCCTCTGTACTGTTTCCTAATCTCTTTTTATAAGGGCACCAGTCCTATTGGATTATAACCCATCTTGATGATCTCACTTTAATTTAAGTGCCTCGCTAAAGAGTCTACTCAAAATATCATAATCCAAGTCACTAAGTTATCATTGTGGTGCAATCTTCTGGAATACCTAAAATTTGCCAGACCAATTATTATTTATCATCTTTCATACTCATTGGATTTCATCATCTTGTCTTTTTTCTCTGTATGTTAAGGATAGTTTCACTCTCTAATGCTTTAAGTCAAGACTTAAATTTCTACCCTTCAGTCTTGGCTTTCTGCATCTTATTCATGTTTTTGTCTTCTTCGGGATCTCTTTTCTGTTCATGCAGCTCCTCTTTACTGCTCCACAGAAGCTGCATATACCTGCAGCATACAACCACACAGCTCAGCAACACTGCAGCACACATTTTGGTGACTCTGAGCCAGGCTTGGGTAGATGTACTCATCTTGGGTTGAGTCCTTTGATCTGCCTTCCTTCTCTAGGGACCAAGGACAGCATGGCAATGACCAAGGTGAGAGAGAGCATGTCCAGCACAAGTACATTTCAAGATTCTGCCTGTGTCACATGTCCTAATGACCCACAAAAGCATAGGCCCTGAAAACAAAGGGCAGGAAATGCACTTATCCACTTTGAAGGAGGAGGCGTGTTTATTTTGAATATTCACTATATTAGTTACTTTTCTCCTAGCTGTGACCTAATCCCTGACAAGAAACTACTTAAAGAAGATGAGGTTTATTGTAGTTCATGGCTTGCAGAGACACAGTCCACCATAGTGGTGGGGGGCAGGGGATGATGGGGGAAAGCACGGTGGTAGGAGTGTGAGGCTGGCACTCCTCACATCACATATCAGTGGAACACATGTTGAGCTTTCTCCTTTTTTCCTTTGTATCAGTCCCAGACCTCAGAAACATAGGATGGTGATGGTGTGACCAGGGCGCATCTTTCTACCTCAGTTACTCCTCTCTGGAAATGCCTCACAGATATTCCCAAAGGTGCTTCTCACTAGTGCACTACTTATTTGTCAATCCAATCAAACTGACAATCAAAATTAACCAACTATTATAGCATGTTTCATGTATCTTTTGAGAAACTTCAACCTTAAATCTCCTAAATTTTTCTTCTTCACTTTTTTTTTTTTTTTGTCTTTTTGACCCAGCTGTCCTGGAACTCACTATGTAGACCAGGCTGGCCTTGAACTCACAGAGATCCGCCTGCCTCTGCCTCCAGAGTGCTGGGATTAAAGGTGTACACCACCACGCCCGGCTTCTTCACTTTATTTTTAAAATTTTCAAATAAATACTTTTCCTCTGAGACTACAAGGTAATACTCATTTTCCTACAGAAATATACACAAGACTCATAATGAATCTGTTTTATTATTTATCCTTATATGGAAAGAAATTTATTCAGACCTGCTATTTACCACCAGACATTGGAAAGTTCTTCAATGTCCCCTCTTCTCTCCCTCTTCACTTTATTTTTAAAATTTTCAAATAAATACTTTTCCTCTGAGACTACAAGGTAATACTCATTTTCCTACAGAAATATACACAAGACTCATAATGAATCTGTTTTATTATTTATCCTTATATGGAAAGAAATTTATTCAGACCTGCTATTTACCACCAGACATTGGAAAGTTCTTCAATGTCCCCTCTTCTCTCCCTCTACCCCTCTCCTCCCCCCACTGTATACTCTACTGAAAAAGTTCCTGACAGTTACGCTATTCAAATCTAGTCTTGAAGAAAGTCTCGGGTACATGCTCCCTTGCTCAATTTGTGGGCCTAGTAGTTTGCCTAGGTGCCTGGTTGCTGAAAAGAAGTAGAAATTTCTCTTTCAATGCCTGGGTCTATGACTATACTGAAGCATCACACATTAAGATGTCATTTTTTTGTTCAAACAGGATAGGACTTGGAAGATTTCATTCTCAGCATACACTATTTCCCGCGCTTTCTTGGTATACAGCAGGAAGAAAAGGCATAAACGTGTATTTTAGTAGATAGTGCTTGAAAGCCCTTCTGAAAAGTTCTTAGGTTTATTTCTAGAAATGTTGGGAGGATATTAATTATGTGCAGCTACCATATAAGTTAATAACTCCAATGACCTACTATCTTAAGATCTAGTGTTGCTCCACACCAGGTCTACATTAAATCAATGACTTTCTTGAGCCCACCTTATCCTTAAACATAGGGTTATCCTTAAACATAAGGCTGTGCTATAACCAGCCCTGGAATCAAAGTAAAGTTTCTACTTTAAATGTCTCCTGAGCTATTCCAGAAGGAATACTGCTTCAAGCTGAGCTTAAGTAACAAAGAACCTTATAACATCAGTCCCTATATCTCTTTATTTTTGTAACTTTGCTGACTTTACAGTTCAGTTTAAGGATTTGATTTTTCACTTCCTCCTGAGATATGCAAGTGTCCCTGATGCATACATAAGAGGTCCACAGGAGACGTTTCTTACATATCCTTATGGAAGAGGACCACAGCAAATGTACAATCAAAGAATAAACAAGCTTTGATGTTAGCCTCTCTGAATGTGGCATATTTGCTATTATAAAACTATCTTCAAGTTCAGGGACAGTACATTAAAGGAAGAATAAAGTAAACTGCAATATTCTGGAAGACAAACGTTTCTTCCAATAATGTGTTTGCTATAAGACACTGTAGTAAAGGGGCTCTTTAACCAACCTCATTTTCCCTTTTTCTTTGTTATGCTGCACAACCCGGCTAGTGGATTTGATATACAGGTGGCGGTGCAGTTCATCTATGAGAACCAGGTGCAGGTTCATCTTCTTGCTGTGAAGCTCCAATCTGAGGTCACTGAGTCCTTCTACCTGGAGGAGTGAGCCCTCCAGAGACTCTACAGCTGACACCTGAAAGGGAAAAAAGGAAGCCAAATAAGTACAACTAAACAGCCAAGAAATGTTATAAGTAAGAAAGGCTAGTTTTTAAGATACTATCTAAAGGGAGTTACTGAGAACTGTGTCAACATGCATCAGACTTTGCAGACTATCATGTAAATTAGCCTAGTATTGTCCTAAAGGATTTACAATCTAAGATATATAAAGAAAAAAATCGGCTGTCCTCCATCCCCACCCATACCCTGTTGCCAGCCCCTTTCCTCACTGGTCACCAGGGCCCTTTCGGGAAAGTGGAGAAGGGTACCCGGAGAGGGCACCATGGGAGCCCATGTGACTGGCAACCTCCTGGGCTGTCCCAAATTTGCAGGCAACATGGGCATGCTTAGGTCTGGACTGTGCCCTGGCCTCACAGAGGAGATGGTCCAACTTCTGAGGGGCCGAACGGTCAGGACAGTCGTGGACCTGGCAGATGCAGACTCGGAGCAGGTAACCCAGCAGTGTGGCTTGTCTTATAAGGCCCTGGTTGCCCTAAGGTGGGTGCTGCTCAGTTCTCAGCTTTCCCCTTAAACGGCACAGACCTCTATGAGGAACTGAAGAACTCCACTGCCATCCTGCCCACAGGCATTGGAAGTCTGGACAAACTACTTGATGCTGGTCTCTATACTGAAGAGGTGACTGAAATTATAGGAGGTCCAGGTAGCAGTAAAACCCAGGTATGTCTCTGTGGGGCTGCAAACGTGGCCACGGCCTACAGCAGAATGTCCTGTATGTTGATTCCAATGGAGGGAGGGATGGATGACAGTATCCCGCCTCCTCCAGTTACTGCAGACTAGAACCCAAGATGAGGAGAAACAGGCAGACACTCTCCAGAGGATACAGGTGGCACATGCCTTTGACATCTTCCAGATGCTGGATGTGTTGCAGGACCTCCAGGGCACTGTGGTCCAGCAGGTGACAGGTTCTTCAGGAACTGTGAAGGTGGTGCTCATGGACTCAGTCACTACGGTGTTTGCCCCACTCCTGGGAGGTCAGCAGAGGGAAGGCCTGGCCTTGATGATGTAGCTGGCTGGAAAGCTCAAGACCCTGGCCAGGGACCTGGGTGTGGCAGTGGTGGTGAACAATGACTTGACTCATGACAGGAGCAGTGGGAAGTTCAAATCTGCTCTGGGACACTCATGGAGCTTTGGGCCCAGCACCAGGATTTTCCTGGACATCAATAAAGGAGCCAGAGCATCAGGCAGCAGCCAGTGCATGGTGTGTCTGACCAAGCCTCCCCGCCAGCCAACAGGGTTGCAGGAGGTGGTAGATATTGGGACCTTGGGGACTGCGGAGCAGAGTCTAGAGCTGCAAGGAGAACAAACGTGACTGGTGCTGTTGATTGTGAGGGGGACAGCTTCACGGACCTCACAGCTTTCCCTCTCAGTCATGCTGCTGTCCACTACCACCCAGTAGCTGCACTGCAGAAGGATCAGGCTGCAAGAAGAGGTGCCTCCGTTTCTTCAGTTTTACTCTCTTGTGAAAGCACACAGAGCCACCAGCCGGAGAACGTCTTGCAGTTGGAGGACCCAGAAGTCCATAATGGTGCCACATTTCCTCCTTTTGTGTCCACCATCTATGTTTCCAGTGGGAGTTGAGTTCACCCTACCTTGGAGCATGGCTGAAGAGTCACAGCAGTGACTGGACAGATAGCCCCATGGCCCTGTATGTCTCACTACTGTATTTTAAACTGAGGCCTCACATAGTGATTGAGCAGAAAACCAGTCTTGTCTTTGCTTCTCTCTCTCTTTTGTTTATTTTGGCCTCTGTTTTTCTGTAAACAGAATGCTTTCCCCTAGCTCTGTCACTGAGTTACTAGACAGAAATAACCTCAGAAATGCAAAAAGGGAAGGAAGGGAG